ATATTCTATTTAAGAGGTATCTGCTGTTTTTGGATACTTTTTAAGATACATTTAGATCTGTAATTAAACGCTTTTTTATCTTAAAAATAAAAATATTTGAATGCAAAATTAATTTTATCTCATATGAGCATATAATTTAAATAAATATTAAGATTTATAATAAAAATATATAAACATTCATTAATTATTATTTTTTCCCCATTTAAATCTATAGATGTCAGTTCGAGATTGTAGAAGATAATTTTATCATGTAAAGGAATATATAAATCCTTGCTTGACCATGATGTCCATTAATTATTAAAAACTATACCAATGCACAAAATTATTTTAAGCAAACAAATTTATTTAGAATTTTTTAATTTATAGATATTTCGCTAACTTTTAATTACCAAATTATAAGTTTAATGTAAATTATTTTTTATATTGTACATTTTTAAGAGAATTTGTTCAAAAGAACGATAAAAATAGAGGTATTTATTGATATTTTAATCATTATTTTTTATATGGTTTTCGAATTGAATTTGAACAAATTATTAAAATGTTGTTTAAGTATTTGGTGCTCTCATAATCAATTTCTGCTCGAGAACAACGGCGAACCCTGAATATAAGTATGATAAAAATTGTATTATCTAGATATTCTCGATGTATCTGTATCAGATCCACTTAAATGTATCTTTTAACAACTCTGTTAAATATGCATAATATTCAAATAAAAATTAATAAATTCGTTGTATGACAAAAATAAACTCACCAAATAAAATTTTTTTATATATAACGTTTTAAAAAAATCTCGGTTTTTTAAAAAATTACGTTTTTTTAGTTTATAATTTATCCATGGCATCTAGGGCAATGAAAATTTAAATTAATTGGGCCCGATAATTTTTTTAAGTTCGGCCTACTTACAGGGCTCTAATGTAATGACGTCATAACTTAATCGTTTTTCAAACTTATATATTTTTTAAAAAAGGAAGTTTTTCTTAAATAAAAACATTTTAAGGAAAAAACAAGTAACAATTTTTTTACAAATTATTCATATTACTCTAAAGGATCTAAAAAAATCGATTCTATTAATAAAAAAAATGAAAGTGTAAAATATTTATGTAATATATAAAGCAGAACTATTAAAAAACATTAAAAATGAGTGCTCAAATTTTCTTCGCAATAAAATTATGATTATATATTATTATTATAAAGGCGCTAACCATTATTAATTGACAAAAGAAAAGGATAATTCCGATTATTTAGTTTTTTGTCTTATCTATCAGCAGAACAATCGAGAATATCAACAGGGCTAAGAGCCAAGATCCAATGACAGGCCCCAATACAACCGATGGATTAATAATTCCTCCTGGAACCTCTTGCAAAGGATCAGATATGTATCGACATGTTTTCCATATCCAATATACAACGTAAATTGTTTCTCCCCCATCGAAAACAAAAAATAAAGTATAACATTTAAAAAAATATAAATACAATTATAAAAAAACTAAAATGGCGCTTATATAAAAAAAATATTATTGAATAATGATATCCAATATCACTCGAGTGCACATATATTTAAGTTACTTCCTATATCAAGTTCGTTGTCGCAACTAGCATAAAATGCACAGATTTTTAAGTGGTAAAATATCTAAAAGTATGTGGTGTAAAATAAAATATGAGTTTCAATTTATACTCTGAAATATTACTCTATGAGCTTTATTGTGCGAATAAATTGAGCATTATAGTATGGTGTAAATTGGTCAAATTATCGCTTTGCGTTAGAAACCATTTTAAAAAAACGCAAACTAGTCTACGACCAGTTTGACTCAGTTTTTTTTCGCAAGAAAGCAAACAAAGCCTTGTTACGCAGATAAGAATAATAGGGGGGGGGGGAATAAAAATCTCTTCATAGTCTGGTTAATTATATGTAAATTTAATTTAATATTATATAAAATATAAAAAAAATAAATTGTCTTTTAAATGGGAAATTTAGAAAATGAAATAAAAAGCCAGACGATAATATAACACATAAAAACTAATTCTTTTTTGTAACTTGCGCCGCATTTATAGTAAACGAGTTTTGTTCAAGAGATGCGGTATTTAAAGCTATCGAAATCATATCTGATTCTTCACAGTGATAATAATTTTTGAAATATACGTCGCAACATATGTTTTTCAAATGTCATCAAAATGTTTTCATCGTTTCGCTCCATATTTATAAATTATACCTATCTATTGGCTTGATTTTGTAAATAACCTAGAGTTAAATACCGCACCGCTTGAACAAATCGCGTTTACTATAAATGAGGTCTTAATCAAAATTTCGAATCGATGATACTAATAAAAAGGAAACTTCAATTTAAACAAAGAAGATGTTTTTTTTCTTAAAAGAGTACGAAAAAACGCAAATGCTCAACTTGTGCGTATAATTAAATGTCATCATTTTTTAAAAAAAGATTCGATTTTATTTAAAACAAATCGGAGTCAAATTTAAATATCGAACTGAGTTTTCAGGTCCTGCCAGAAGCTGATTCGAACTCTTATTTTCGAAATAGGTTCTAATATTTAATCCGGAAAAAAAGTTAAAGAAAAATAAGAATTGATCTTTTATTTTGAAATGAGTATTTTTTTTTATAAAACCATTAAAAAGGGTTAATGATATTTTTTCTAGGTCCAATTTTAAATGAAGGTTCCGACTTAAACAGCCTTAAAGAATTCTAGACAGGTCCGTATAGTGCTCAAATACAAACGCCAATCATTTCCGAATATGAATAGAGCATAACTATACTATTCCCTAATATTATAAATCATAAATTTTTTTGTTGATATAAAATTGATCGAATGTAAATTATTACCATAATATTCACTTTAAACTAACATTTTCTTTGTGATTATATATGGGGGGGGGGATAATCTTATCGGATTAAAATTATCTATAAAATGTATAAATATTATAATCAATAAAAGTGCAACTTTGTTGTAATTGTACATTTTATCGTAAAAGAAGTATTTCTATTCGCTATGATAAATAGAAAACAGAAATAAAATTTCGCTAGATGATATAGAATATATTCAAAAATTTTTTTAAAAGAATTCTTTCCTTAATCTCGCTATAAGAATCAATAATTAGCTGTTCGAGATAACGGATTCCGTAATTTATTTATGCCATAAAAAACCAATATTTTCTACAAAAAAATAAATAACTATAAACTATGGGAAAAAATGAAACAGTTATAAATATCCCGTTTCTCATTGCATTATCTATCTTGAATAATTAAGTATATTATTTTTTTTATTCCCAAAAATTAATCATGGCATTTAAAAGGTGGGGAATTTATGGTTGAATGTGACTTCTTAAATATTTTTAAAATCCTTTTCTTGTTTCAAATAATAATATCCTTTTTTTTAAAAAATAATACAATTAAATTTTTTTAAGTTCCTTTTATTCAATTCATTAATAATGGGAAGTAAAATAAAAAAAATGATATATAATTAATTATATATAAATAATAAAATAACCAAAAATAACAATATAGAAGTTTTTTTTGGATCCATTTGTTTTTAAAAAATGAAAAATATTGAACCCAATACCCTTTAATATTGGCACAACTTTTAAATATAATAAAGTCTTTTTTTTCAAAAAATTGCAGAAAAATGCATTCCTATTATAAAAAAGAATGGTTGTAAGAATCATTTATGATAAAAGAAATTAAAGAAACTAAATGAAAAAAATTGTTTCAGATGAAATATTAACAAAACAATTTCTTTAAATTATTTTGGTACATTATCTTTTAAAAAGAAAGTCCTATTCAATAATTTCATAGGCCATAAGTAGGGAGAGAGGTCCCCATATTAGTGATGCAAAATTGTTTCTTTTCAGCCAATTTTTTTATAATGGCTAACTCAGTATTATCTCCAGATAAATATTATGCAAGCCTGAAGATTTTGCTCATAAATGGCAGAAATGTTTGGACATCTATTAGTGAAATCTCTAAACTTTGGCAATATTTTTCTACCTAAAATATTGAGTTCGTCATTTTTAAAATAAAATGGAGTGATTTGGCATCAATAATCCATATATTAAAAATTTTGCAAAGTTTATAAATATAATTTTAAAATAAAAATTTATATCCTTGCCACCCTTCCCTTCCAAAAGATGAGTAAATAAGAAATTATGCATAATAAGTGGTCTCATCTATATTTTTTTTCTAAAAATTTTAAAGTGTATTTAAGTTTCAGTTCTTAAATTTAAAGTAGTTCTGGGAATTCTAGGGTTGGGTTCAGACTCTATTTAGCTATTTTTAGCAGTAAAATTTTTTCTGAAAAAATGTGTACCAAGATTATTTTTTAAAAGTAAGATAGATGCAAAAAGTGAGATTGAGGGCCTCCCAATAAAATTTATCTAGGAAAAGTCTCAACCACCATTAGGAAAGTCCTGGATACACCAATAAATGATTTATCATATAAAAATATTAATGTTCTATAAATATATATCCAATAGATTTTATATGACTAGCTTTTCATTCAAAAATGGCTTTAGGCAAAATTAAAGTATTTATCATATTATTCTCTAACAATTAATTAAATATATTTTAGTAGCATTAAAACTTATATAAGAAACAAGTTTAAATATAAGATATTCAAGCTAGTCATAGATTTGTGATTTTAAATATGGTAATGAGAAGAACAACTTAAAGCAAGAATTATTTATTTGAAAAAAATTTAATTTATTTGATATTTCAATCAAAAATCTATAATTTGGCTGAAATATTAATAGATATAACCTTGTAGCCACAATATAAAAAGTATATAGTAACTAATTATTTTTAAAATTGAGCATTAAATATAATTAATTTATCATATTTAAATATATATATGATCATGTTGTATAAACTTAAGCAACCTAAATAATAATTTTTATACACTATGATTTTTTTTTTATAAATTAAGAGCTAAAAATTCAGTTATCTCATAATATTAATATTTATATGACTAGATAAGATATATTATATTATTACTTTAGATTTAGGAATGTAAAGAAAAGAACATTTACTAGGCAAAAAATAATAAAAATTCAAAATGCACATGTAGTTGTTAATTTGGTTATCTGTAAAAAATGATCGAAATCATTTAAACAGAATTGGAGTTCTTTTATGATCGGCATTTTTTTAAAAATAATAGAAATCAATCAGGTCTCCATTCTTGACGGTATATCGAAAGTCTACTAGTATGTTAATAAATATTAATATCATTAACTTCTCTAATTTTTTTTATAAGGATATCCTCTTTTAAAATCTTTAGGTTAAGAAATTAACTAACAACAATCAATAGAGATCCCAATTTTTATTATACTTTTAGATAAAGAATATCTCTTGAGATATTCAGATATGATTTTATCTTCATCCTCGGTTCTAAGCCAGAAAATATTTACAATATATCTTTCTACCCTGCTCCCCCCTTCCCGTTTTTTAATATTTAATTCATATAATTTTTAATACATATATTCCTTATAAAAAATCCCATATTTTTTAAATTATGTGATGATTATTTGAAATTAAAAATGATAAAAATAATTAATCTTCATAAAGTTAATAAGGACTCTTTAAATAAACATAAACACAATCATTTATTCATTTGAAAAACATTATATTTTTGCTTTATTATAGATTTTTAAAATTATTTTTAAATAATATAGTAAATATAGAACTATATTATTATTTAAAAATTTTAGATATTCGTCCTCTGCATACAATGTTAGGCTTGATCCAGTTCACCGAAATTATCTATTTAAACTAGTTTTTTAATTAGAAACGAACCTTAATCCATGAACAGAGTCAAAATCGGATAATTGCAAAGCGTTGGAAGGAAATTAATGTTTTCTTACTTATCTGACTTTTCACAATTATAAAACTATTTTAATTATTTATTAAATAATTAAAGAATTTTGTGTTGTTAATAATATATAATAAAATCTATATTCTATGTAGAATAAATTTGTTCTATAATTATTCGATTATTATTATTAAGAATAATTATTATGATAAATTATTAAAAATGTTTTTCTTACAACTTTAAAAATACCATATGATTAAAAATTAAACATTGCTTACTAAATGTACAACAATCTTCCTTCGCTTTAAATCTAAAGGTAATCTGGCTAAACAGAATGTCCCAATAATAAGTTAAGTCGGTTAAGTAGGTTTGCGGATCTATAAGTGAGGAATTTTGAGAAATATATTTTAATTTTAGAAATTCAAAGAACTAACTTTTGATAACATTTAACTAATGTTTTACTTATTATTTCCAATACTATGACCAGCATGCTAGTTAAGATAATTTTCCAATTTATGTAAATAGAATGCTAAATTGCCGAAATCGTGTTAAGTTGGAAGAATATAAAGTTTTATTATTCGTTAAATTCATTAACTCATATCTTTATCATAATTTTATTAATTAAATACCATTTTTAGAATCAATAAACGGAAGCAAACTTATCCAACATTTAGATATAGTATAATTACATTTATTCAAAATTTCGATACTTTAATGTAAAAATTTTGTTTTATATGCAAAAAATTCTGTCATCCTATTAAGTTATAATATTATCCTAATGTGTTAGCATGTTAGTTAAATTGATCTATAAAACAAAAATAGTTGAATTGATTTAAAATAAAAATAGTTAAATAATATAAAAACAATAATAAAATTTTAAAGTAACAAAATGTATCTTTTGAGCATAAAAAATTTTAAACGTAGTTTTCAGTTGTGTTATAAAATAAATGATAAAAATAAATTAAAGTTAGTTTAAGATTTGAAAAATTGAAACTGTTTAGGTTGATGAACAAAAAAAAATAAAAATTAGTTTTAAGGTATAAAATAAATAAAAAACGACCATATTAGCAACATAAATAAATCAATGATGAATAAATCAAATGAGTGAATAGCAGATAATTCATGTATAATAATTGAATGATTAATTTTTATTGCTTATTTGAAAATTTTAATTTATTAAATGCAAATTGTTCTGTCTGATTATAATGTATATTGTATACACATATGATATTTTATTTTCCTTTATTATTTTCAATATATATGAACATATAAATAATTTTTATGAATTAATGATTTGAAATAATTTGAAATTAATCTTTGAGTTACACACGCCTAAATAATTTTTCGACAATGAGCACTGCCTTCTTAATGATTCTTGGTCCTTCTAGTTTACATATACACACTGGATAAAGATGCCATCCATTGATTTTGTTAGATAAATAATTAGGTTCTGGTATCTCTTCTATAACATCATACATGTAAATCACTTTCTGCACTAATACCCTTCTAGAAAATAAGATAAAATTATTTATTCCAAGATTTGCATTCCATCTTTCATTGCAGATTGTGTGAAAATAATATTTTGTCTTTCCCTAAATTTTTGTAGTCACCTTGAATTTTAAAAATAGTAGATATTTATAAATATTTAAAACGATCTTCTTCAAATTATTTAGAACGCACAAGTGATTATTATGAACAAGAATTGAAGATCACCAATTAATTTATCAAAATAATATAGTTAATCAAAATCATTCTAAAATAACATAAATAAAACTAAAATATAAATATAAATATAAATCAAAATATAACGTAAAAATTATAAAACTTTTATTTTTCCTTAATTTTTACATTTTCGATCTCTCTCACTATTTATTCTACTAAAATTTACATACCATAAATAATTATTTCAAATAATTGTCATTTAATTTTCTTAAAATTTAAACCTTTCAATTACCTATACAATTTAAATATTTCAATTATTCTTACAAATTTTATATTCAAATTAATTGTTTATTTATAAATAACTTTTCTTTTTCAATTATTTGACAGTTTTATTGTAAATTCTTGCCTGTTATATGATATAATCAGTGTTGTTAAACGCTACTTTTAAAAGTAGCGCGCTATTAGCTACTTTTTACGCTATTTTGATTTTTTTTAAAAATATTTTTTACGCAGCTTAATTTCCACAAATATATTGGTAACAAAAACATGACTATAATTTGTTACATATATATATATATATATAATTTATTTATTATTGCCCTTTAATAATAATAACATTTCGGTACTGTCATCCCCAGTCTAGAGCGACGATCAGAAAGTATAAGCTTTGCCATACTAAATAATTGTTCAGCACTAGCGCAACGCAGTATTAAATTTAATAAATACACTTTTTATATGAAAAAATTATCAAAAATGAGTATTTTTAGATTTAAAAAAGCATCTAAAGGTTCAATAATATTATTATTTATTTAAAAAAATCGTCTATGGAAGGAAGCGGTTTCGATCTTGCTATAGTATTAGTATCGTGGTTAGGCATGGCATTTTTTAACGTTATCAGCCTATCAAGTTGCCCTTTAGATTCAGTTTTAGTTTTTTTGGATCAATCCAATGTGTGATCACTCCTAAATAAGCTCTAAAAATATGAATATCATATTATAAATCAGAAAATAAACATTTTTACCTTCTATTGTGCGCATAGCAATCTGATGTTGTACAGATGTAAGAGACATCTGATAGATTTAATATTAAAGATTCTTTCTTTCTATAAAGCTATCCAAAATTCTTACCATCAATGTCTGCCGGCAAAATATCTTGGTACGTGGAGAAAAAATGTTTATCATCTTTATAAAAGAACCATTATCCATCAAGGATAATGGTTGAACAGTATATATTATAAAGTTCATTGACTTTGTCAGCCAATTTTTGAGATACACCTGGTGTTGATGAATCCAAATTGCTTAATTTTATTTGAATTAAATTTGATTTGGAAGTGGATGTATCTCCTTCCATTACCCCAAAACTTTTAAGATATTTTTTAATCTCTTCATAATTTGAGGTGTGAACAGTCTAAAATTATAACAGTAATACTTAGAATAAAAAATATTTAGGAGATAATACATAAAAATGATTGAAATAACTATTTTTATTTAAATAATTTAGATAAAATTGAATATATAAAAAAATGATTGGTCTTTGATTTAAATTTATTTTAAAAATTAAGGATTAGCCTACACATTGATATTAAATTTGTTTAATATATTAGCTTTAAATGTTTTCTCAAATTAGGGCCTCTTGTATGATTTGAGGATAAAATTTTACACATCCTGCATCGAAACCGATATCCAGTAGTAATTTTTTCTTCAAGATTAAATTATTTTTTGAATTTTGGGAAAGGATAATCTATATTTTTCTCATTTTCCAAAGAAATTTCGCTATCTTCAACAATCTCACACATTTTTAATAATTAGATTTATAATGCTAACTAGATTTATAATTTTTATTTTTAAATATAAATTTAAATTTCAAAATTAAATTAAATAAAAGGATTATCATCTTTAGATTTAATAAAAAATATATTTTAATAATTTTTAAATGTATTTATTATGTAAAATTGAAAGTAGCGAAGTAGCGCTATTGCTATTTTCTAAAAAAAAGTAACCCGCTAAAGCTACCGCTACTGAAAAAAGTAGCGCGCTATTTTAACAACACTGGATATAATTAAATTTTTATTACTTGTTTAAAAATAAACAAGTCATTAAAATTAAATTATGGATATACTTAATTAATAATGAAGTAATATATATTAATGATTATATTTGATTTAATGATATTAAACAATTAGAATAAAATAAAGTAGAAAATTGATAATATTTATTTCGCAAACTAGCGTATATTTGATTTTTATTTAAAAAAAAACATTATTTATTAACTATAAAAAAAATCATTAAACGATGTTAATTTACTGAATTTCTTATAAGATTTCTTGATCTATGGTTATTTATAACCAATATCACCAATTTAGTATTAATATTTTTGTAATGTAAGAGCATATCTATCAATGATATTTTTTTCCCCATATAAACAATAATGGTGGTTATCTAACAATATTTTTCCCAAGTCTGCTAATTTTGCTAAAGCAAGGGTAACGATCTTGATTAGCAAATATTTCAATGCATTATTTTATTACATTATACCTAGAATAATTATAATTTTTCGAAATAATAGTGATATTCTCAATGATTTCTAGAAATACCATAGCAAAATTACCAAAAATGGTATCTAATATAATATTAAAGAATTAAAGTGGATATTAGCAC